TTAAGAGGTGCAAATTTAATACAGAAATGAGGAATTTCTTCTCTTGGAGGGTTGTGAGTTTTTGGAACTCTTTGCTACAGAGAGTTGGGGTGATAGATTTCTTCTGTATATTTAAGGCTGAACTAGATAGATTCTTGATCAGTAGCAGAATCAAGGGTTACGGAGAAAGGGCAGAAAAGTAGACATGAGGAATGTTAGATCAGCTGTGATCCTATCGAATGGCAGAACAGGCTTAAGGGACATAACAGCTTACTCCTGTTCCTATTTCTTGTGCCTTATGGGATCCCTCTAATCTTTGAGATCTCTCCCAACCCCTCCCCACTGTCTCAAAAGTGCAAATTCAATATTGCTATTAAATTTGACAGGACTTTCATCATCCCGGTATTTCCAGGATTCCCAGCTAAAGACATGTGATGTGACCCCCTCCCGCCATGTGGTACATAATGGGTCTAGTGTGTCTAAAATAGTAAACTTGGATTTTGCTTAGCCATTATTTCTGATGTTCAATTAACAAAGAATAAAATTGTGATGACATATACAAACTAAAAGGGGAAATAAATGTACTGACAAAGACTCCAACAGAGTTCCAAGTTGTGATGTACATCCCCCTCTGGTGATTGAAGATAAAATAGCTGCAAGTTTACTGAAGCAAATCTACTAACGTTTTTGGCGGGTTTTTGTCTTAACCTGAAAAACTGTGCATTTTTAGAAGTGGATTCTGGGCTAGAACTTATATATACCAGGAGCATGTTTGATGTGAGTGTTTTAGGAAGTGCTGGGGCCTGAGATTTATGAAGGAAAGGGAGCAGTTTGGAGTGATTAAATGGTTTTTCTTAAGCTGCAAACTCCTGTTTCCTTTCAAAAGCTAAAATTCAGTCTACATCTGTCATGCTGTAATGGCAATGCATACAATAAGTTTTTCCTCACGTTATTGGTTCTTTTGTGATGAATCTTAAATCTGTGTCCTTGGTTCCCAACCCTTTCTCCAATGTGAGCTCTTCCTGTCTCTACTCTTTCCAATTTTGAAAGCTTTAGTCAAATCCACCTCTTTTCTAAGCAGAACTGCCCAGCTTCTCCAATCTATTCTCAAATTGGAAGTCTCTTCACGCCAGAATTATTATCATACATCTTTTCTGCATTCTGTCAAATGCCTCTTCAAGTTCCAATAATCCCCTGATGTTGTGTACCTTCAATTCCATATTGCCTGGTCAGTTCCCTAAATTTTAATTTGTATAACCTGACCGAGGGCACTGCCATATTGTGAGTGGGAATCAGGATGCTAATTCTCTAGTGGTTGGAGTCTTAACTAACACGACGGAAGTATTAAAGGCAACAAGGTCTCATCCAGAGACAAGGCTAGGGAAACCAATTGGGCTAAAGATGACTTAGCTCCCTGGACCTGATGGGATGTATGGTAGGATATTAAAAGAAGTAGCTACAAAGATAGTGGATTGCTGCTAATCTGCCAAGAATCATTAGATTCTAGAAAAGTCCCAGAAGATTGGCAGTTTTCCAATGTAATACCTTTACTTAGAAAGGTAAGGTGACAAAAAAAGGTCATTTATAGACTAATTAGCTTGAGATGTGTCATTTGGAAAATGTCAGTATCTATTTAAAAGGATGTAATAGTAGATTATTTAGAAATATAAAATATGATCAGGCAGAGGCAGCATGACCTCACAAGGGGAAATTCATGTATGACAAATGTATTGGAATTCTTTGAGGAGGTAACAAGCAGGATTGATAAAGGGAATGCCGTGCATGTTACATATTTGGATTTTCAGAAGGCATTTGACAAGGTACTACACTGTAGGCTTCGGAATAAAATAAGAGCACAGAAAGAAGATAGAGAGGATAAGGAGGTCATTTTCAGAATGGCAAACTGTAACTCATGGAGTGCCACAGGGGTCAGTGCTAGGGCCACAATTAATGTCACATATGGCTCTAATTAAACACACATTTTGCCTGCCACACTGCCTGATGATAACATAGTTGACTAGATGCATAGAACAAGAGTGCATTCAAAGAGTCTTATAATTTAAGGAGGTAGAAAACAGTGTTGGCGATTAAAGGTTTATGTTCAGCACATGGCTGTTACTACTGCCAACCTATATTTTTCATAATTATCTTTTCTCAGGCCTGGTGTGTGGCTTGGTGGGCAACTTGCAGCTTGGTGCCCTTGTCCTTTTAGATGGTAGGTGTCATGGATTTAGAAGATATTGTTAAAAGAACGTGGGTGGGTCACTGCAGTGAAGCCTGTAGATGGTGTAAACTACTGCCACTGTATGTTGATCATCAAGAGGTTGAATATCGAAAGTAGTAGATGATGTGCCAATCAAGCAGGATGTTTTGTCTTGAATGATGTTGAGCATCTTGGGGGTATTCCATCACATTTCTGACCTGTGCCTTGTAGGTGAAAAACAGATTTTGGGGAGGTAGGAGGTGAGTTACACAATGCTGTATTTCTAGCCTTTGACCTGTTCTTGTAGATTTTATTTTGCCTTGGCCCTTGGCACATGCTGACAACTGCTGTGAGCCAAGGTGACAGCTTGATAAAGTCAAGGACCAATACAGGATGAGCCACTCCAAAGAGCATAGTGAGCAAGTAGTTGTGCAAGATGTTTCAACATCAGTACCATTGCTAAATTCCCACGAACTACTTCTGGGAGTTTTCATTCACCAGAAACCTAACTGGATGAATCTTGTTGACTCATGTAGCAATTACTTTAAGCCATTGTAAACCCTCCTGTCACCTCCCATGAAAAGTTCTCATGAAACTGATTTGGTGCCTCTTTTCATGCTCCATTCTGAAAGGGATGTGTTACTGGCTATCTTCTTGATTAGTACAATGGCCGACCTAAGGCGGGTGTCAGATTCTAAAAGCCTATAAAAAAAAAAATAGCGCCTGCATCTTGGATCCCCGAGACCGAAACTGGCATGTGTTATTCTGTTTAATTCTTTTCAATTCCTAGCAAATCCGGTCACCTTCTGTGGCTATCCATCGAGGGGTTAAGCAGTTTGTTAAAGCCAAGGAAAAGTAGCAGTACCCAGTGTGTTATCATTCCTGCATATATTGGATCGTTGAACTTTTTAAAAAATTAAATGCAGCTTAGTAGCTAGATTTTTTAGAGGGCAGTTAAAAGTCAACCATGTTGTTGTGGATCTGAAGTCGCATGTTGTTCAGACTGGGTAAGGCAGCACATTCTCTGAATGAGATGCGTTTTTATGAAAATCCAATTGTTCAATTAATTGAATTTAAAATCCCAAGCTATTGTGGTAGAATTCAAATTCATCGCCTCTGGCTCATTATTGCAAGCCTCTGGATTACCTGTCCAGTATTGTAATCAATATACTTGAGTTCCCCTCGTTCTTGGCGCTAGTCTGTAATTTTAGGTGTGAAAGATTGTAATCATTATAACAACCACCGTTGCCCTCATGACAAGCAAACTTTTTCAGAGGTTTCCTCCCATTTTTACCTTGCAATCCATGATGGTAACTTTAGAATTAAATTATCATATGAAATAAAATTTTAAATATTGATAGTCTGTCTTAAACTATTGCACAAAAGCAAATATGACCCACTTTTCCACTGATCTAGATATTTTTAAGTAGTCTGTCCAGATATGTTATGACACACCACTGGAGCCAGGTGCGATTTGGACCCATGTTTCATGGCTCAGAGGTAGAAATATTACCACCACACCACAAGAGCCTTCACTCCCCCTCTGATCTATTTTGTGGTGATTGTTGTGAATCAATTGGTACTTTGCAAGCCAGCCTACACAATGATTTCCATTCAGTTAATGGAATATGTATGTTTATCTGGGGTGACCAATTGGAGTTTTTTTTAACAATTATTTTTAGGTCTGTGGAGAGTTCTGAGGCTATAATAGTTACAGTACATTTAATTACAGTGTATAAATGGATATGAATCATGCAAATGTCTGGTTCAGTCATGGTAGTTTCTTTTAACCCTGGGAACATACTGGACTCTTGATCGATAAATTATCACCTCAAGCATTATGTAGCAGATTAATTCATAAGTAAGATATTCTAATAGGCACTGGAGATTGCTTCATTTGAATAATAATGAATTAATTCATACTATAATTATATTGATATAATTAGATGCCTTCTGATTTAAAATTCTGTACCTTAATTATGGATACAATATTTAGAACTGGATTTTGTGTTAGTTTTGATGGCAAAGCTGTTAGTGTCATTGTTATGTGTGAAACTGACAGTAACTTCTGATGCCTGCAGATGCACAATTAAGTACACATGTCCACAAATTGCTGACAGTAATTCCCTGTTACTTGACAGGTTACGTTGTTGAAGTCTCTGCAGATAACAATCTTAGAAATCACTGAACTTACATAAATGTCACCTTTACAGTGTAATACCACAAAAATAACTCTGAAAATGTTACACCTTGTATAATGAGGTCTAACAGGATTTTAAAGGCATAGTAAGTCACATACTTCTCTAGTCTTGAAATACAAATTTTATGTTTATGGAATGTCAAATTTCAATATTACAATGTATCCACAGGTTTCAATAAGTTTATTTTTAAAAAATTGCTTAATAAAGCTCAACTTCCAACCTTTTTTTTCCCATGTGGTATATCCCAATTTTTATTTTGTTCTCCACAAAATGTATAAAATATGAATGGTCCCCACTGGATTCAGTTTCCTGGTTTGCTGTCTGTGGCTTCTTCAATGTGCTTAATCTACTTGGAAACATCACTGAATATCTGAGCATATTCTTGACCAATATAAAGCTTGGCAAAGGGAAAAATGTTGCTCGTTCTTTGTGAGAAACATTCTTTAAGATCAGTGGCGAGTGCTGGTGTTCTGCTGTTGACCAGGAAATCTAAACCATAATATAAATGTGTGTATATATAGCACATTTACAGCCCATTTATTAAAATTGCTTTTTAAAGATTTTGTGAAAATCCAATTTTTGATTGTTTTTCTTCCTTCTAATACATGCAATCACAGGGAACTCAGCTGATTTTCACTGCTGCTAAAGAACTGGGGCAGTTATCAAAACTGAAGGTATCAGTGTATTTTATTGCATGAGCAGTAAATCTGTGTGCTGTATAGAGAAATGCTTGTGCTGTGTTTAAAGGAAAGAAAGCTTGGTGTCTTTTAAAATATAGTTCTTGTTTGTAACAAATTCAAAGATATAAATTATTATGGTGCTCTCATGAAATGCAAGAATGCTATTTGGAATCAGTTTTTAATTTTTAGTAAGTGCTTTCGCAGTATGTATTGAATGATATTGCGGATTAATCGTAGCAACGGAAAGATGAGAAATCAAAACCTTTGTTTTCGGTCACTACCAGTGGCTGCAAGTAAACTTGAACTCAGGATGTCCCAGTGAAATAAAAATGTGCATTTTCAGGTACATTCTGTACTTACCACAACACATACTCAATTCCTCTGGAATGAAGCCAAGAAAAAATTATGTTTCACAGAACTGTGGGATGGAAACAAACTAGAATGGGTTAATACCCATCCACAAAGATTCACTAATACCTTGTGGTTAAGCTCTTATAATTACTTTATAAGCCTGTTCCAAAACAAATATGAGCAGTCATGCAATTCTCTGACACGCCTCTATTATAGATTTCATCACGTATAGTTTTGTTCTTTCTTGAAGCAAGAAATGCTTATTTTGTTCTTTGACTATGATTAACAACAAAGAAGGTCTTGCTGTTGCAAATGTTTGAATTTTATGATCAGCTCTCAAGTCATTAGGAGGTTCTCCACATAAAACTTTGAGGATTTCATTGGACTTCTAATAAATCATTTACTAATAGACACCAAATAAGTTCATTTTAATATTTTATTCCCTTCGTGAGGACAAAAAAAAGCTTGTCACTTCATATATATGTACAAGTGAGCAATATTCTTGTTTCTATGAAATATCTAATAGTGCAAGATTTGAATTTTCCAGGATCACATGGTTCGGGAAGAAGCCAAAAGCCTTACACCAAAACAATGTGCTATTATGGATTTGGCACTCGACACAATTAAGGTAAGTGAGAGGAATACAGTTTTAATTCTAAATTATTCCATCTAACTGAGATTAGAAAAATTGTGAATCATTCTGATCTTATGTCAAATTAAACCTGAAGGCAAATATTGGAACTCCAGGAAATTTGAATATGTAACGTCATTCTTTTCCCACAAAGCTAACTTGTTTCACAAAAATAAAGAACTGTGGATGCTAGATATCTGAAAAGAAACAGAAATTGCTGAAGAAACTCAGTAAGTCTGAAAGCATCTGTGGGGGGAAAGCAGAGTTAACGTTTTGAGTCTGGTGACTCTTCATCAGAGCAACTTTTTTCACATGCCTGTGGGTATTCCTCTGATTGTATGTAAGTGTCAGTCACCAGTTTTTTAAAGCTGTTTGTATTTCAACACATGGCCAGCTTGTTATATTTCACAGGAAAATCATCATACTAGCAATGATTGAGAATGTTAAGGAGTCAGATCAAAACGCACAATTAAAATTTGTCAGAAGCAATCAGATTGATGTTGATCATCACTGATCTGGTTGGTTGGAAGTTGGGAGTGGACCTTGTCAAAAAATCAACCAAATGTTACTTTCTTTCAACACTGGTTCCCTACAATTTTTTAAAAATGAATTGATGGTTTCTGAGCATCACAATTCATTGAACATTTGTCTTCAATACATATAAAACAAATCTGGCAGCGTCTGTGCAGAGAGAAACAGTTAACGCTTCGATTCTAATGATCACCAGATGCTGCCTGCAATGGAGCAGTTTAGATATGAAGAAAGGCTGGTTAAGCACAGGTTGCCATCTTTACAGCAAAGAAGGCTGAGGGGGAACCTGATTGAGGTATATAAGATTATGAGGGGCATGGACAAGGTGAATTGAAAGCAGCTGTTCCCTTAGTTGAAGGGTCATTAACAACGGGGCACTGTTTAAAGCTGCAAGAGCACTTGAAGTGTCATAACATTCAAAATTATAGACCAACAGCAGGAGAGTGGGGCTAATGTACATTTAAAGTAGTTTTTTTTATTGGTGCAGTCTCAATAAACCGAAGGGCCCCTTCTGTACAGTGTGATTGTATAATTCTCTAAGTGTTGCTTAGAATTTAACTCTGTCAACTTAGTTCCTCTCTCCTCAGATGCTGCCAGACATGCTGAGTTTCTCCAGCATTTTCTGTGTATGTTTCTGATTTCCACAGTATTTTGCTTTAATTTTCTTCAGGACTGGCTCAAGCTGGTACTTTGAGATTAATTGGTTGTTCCCTGAATGAGTTTTTTCACCGTTTTTTATGAGTATGCCAGTTGTTACATCACAGAATTGGCAGTTACATTTTTCTACACTGTGACACAGCTTTTTGCCTTTCTGAACGAGTTGTAGAGCGAAGTAATGCTCTATAAACTTGAATGCTATGTTCAATTTTGTTTACTTTGTGAATGTTACTTTATTTCGAATAGGTTTCAAATTTCTAGATGGGGCAGTTGTCAGTGCTACCGAAGAGTAAAAATAAACTGTGAAAAGACATTTTATTTATGTCTTCATTTTTAATCATTTTTGTGCCTTTATTTATTTTAATCAATACATGAAACTTTGCTTGACAGGGAAGAAAAGAAATTATCTAGTTTGGAAATTGCTCTTGATGATAGTAGTAAATGGCTATTTAATGTATTTTAGTGACAGTCCTCTGACAGCTGTTTTAGCAGAGGTGTTTATTCTCTTTTTTACATGCTTACTAGTTCAGTAAAATAACAGTGGGTTGTCATGTGAATGCACTTGTCTGGTGTTATTGCCTCAGTAATTTCTACCCTCATTTATTTTGAAATTTTAATACAGTACATCATTGACCACCAAGCCTATACTGATTCCTAATCTTTATTTAGACCCGCTACTTATTGCCCATGTGCGGTTTCCATCACCCTGTTTGCCTCCTGTTCATGTGTCTATCAAGATACTTCTTAAATGTTGCTAATGTGCCTGCTTCCACCACCTGCACTGGCAGTGCATTCCAGGCAGCCGCCACCCTCTGTGTGAAAAGTTTTTCCTGTACTTCTCCCACAAACTTACCCCTTCTCACCTTGAACCTGTGCCCTCTTGTAGTTGACCTTTACAACCTGGGAAAAAGCCTGTTACTACCCATCCTATGTATGCCTCTCATAATTTTGTAAACCTCTATCAGGTCGCCCCTCAGCCTCCATCTTTCCAGCAAAAACAATCTGAGTTTATCCAACCTGATATTGATTGATTTTATTGTCACGTGTACCAAAATATGGTGAAAAGCTTTGTTTATGAGCGGTACAGGCAGATCACAGCAAGCAAAGAATGTACCGATCAAAAAGACTGAGAGGCATACAAGTTACATTGCAGGTTACATTATTTGAGGCTACAGTCCATTCAACAGTCTGATAATGGCCGGAGGGTCAGGCTTCTGTAACTTCTGTCTGACAGAAGAGGTTGGAGGAGGTCATTACCAGGGTGCGATGGGTCTTTGATGATGTTGGCTGCCTTTTCACAGCAGCGAGCCATGTAAGTGGTGTCCGTGGATGGAAGGTTGGCTTCTGTGATGGTCTGGGCTGTGCACACCAATTTCTGTAGTTTCTTACGGTCCTGGGCAGAGCAGTTGCCATACCAAACCATTATGCACTTGGACAGTATGCTTTCAATGAAGCATCTGTAGAAGTTGGTGAGGGTCTTTATGGACATGGCAAATTCCCTGAGCCACCTGAGGAAGAAGAGGTATTGTGCCTTCTTGACTGTCGCATTTACATGGGAAATCCAGGACAGGTCGTCGGTTATCATCACTCCGAGGAACTTGATGCTCTTCACTCTCTCAACCTCAATTCCGTTGATGTAGTTGGGAGCATGTTCTCCTCCTTTATTTCTGAAGTCGATGATCAGTTCTTTAGTTTTGCTGGTGTTGAGAGACAGATTATTTTCATTGTACCACGTCACCAAGCCCTCTATCTCCCTTCTGTATTTTGACTCGTTGTTAGATATCCGTCCCACTACGGTGGTGTCGTCAGCAAACTTGTAGATAGCGTTCATTCGGAATTTGGCAACACAGTCGTAGGTGTACAGGGAGTACAGTAGGGAGCTGAGGATGCATCCTTGGTGGGCTGCAGTGTTAAGTGTTATTGTGGAGGAGGCAACATGGTTTTGTGAAGGGGAGGTCGTGTCTGACTAACTTGGTTGAGTTTTTTGAGGAAGTGACGAAGATGATCGATGAGGGTAGGGCAATGGATGTTGTCTACATGGACTTCAGTAAGGCCTTTGACAAGGTCCCTCGTGGCAGGCTGATACAGAAGATAAAGTCGCACGGGGTCAGAGGTGAGCTTGCAAGATGGATAAAAAACTGGCTCAGTCATAGAAGACAGAGGGTAGCTGTAGAAGGGTGCATTTCTGAATGGAGGGCTGTGACTAGTGGCGTTCCTCAAGGATCAGTGTTGGGACCTTTGCTATTTGTAATATATAAAAATGATTTGGAGGAGAATGTAACTGGTCTGATTAGTAAGTTTGACGATGACACAAACGTTGGTGGAATTGCGGATAGTGATGAGATCCGTCAAAGGATACAGCTGAATATAGATCGGTTGGTGTCTTGGGCAGAGAGATGGCAGATGGAGTTTAATCCGGAAAAATGTGAGGTAATGCATTTCGGAAGGTCTAATTCAGATGGAAAATATACAGTAAATGGCAGAACCCTTAAGAGTACTGATAGGCAGAGGGATCTGGGTGTACAGGTACACAGGTCACTGCAAGTGGCAAAGCAGGTGGAAAAGGTAGTCGACAAGACATACGGCATGCTTGCCGTTATTGGCCGAGGCATTGAGTTTGAAGATTAGCAGGTAATGTTGCAGCTTTATAGAACCTTAGTTAGGCTGCATTTGGAATATTGTGTTCAATTCTGGTTCCCACACTACCGAAAGGATGTGGTGGCTTTGGAGAGGTACAGAAAAGATTTACCAGGATGTTGCCTGGTATGGAGGACATTAGCTATGAGGCGAGGTTGGAGAAACTTGGTTTGTTCTCACTGGAACGACGGAGGTTGAGGGGGTGACCTGATAGAGGTCCACAAGATTATGAAGGGCATGGACAGAGTGGACAGTCAGAAGTTTTTTCCCAGGGTGGAAGAGTCAGTTACCAGGGGCCATGGGTTTAAGGTGCAAGGGGCAAGGTTTAAAGGTGATGTACGAGGCAAGTTTTTTTACACAGAGGGTGGTGGGTGCCTGGAACTCGCTGCCGGGGGAGGTAGTGGAAGCAGATACGATAGTGACTTTTAAAGGGCGTCTTGACAAATATATGAATAGGATGGAAATAGAGGGATACGGTCCCCAGAAAGGTAGGGGGTTTTAGTTGTGAAGGGCAGCATGTTGGTGCAGGCTTGGAGGGCCGAAGGGCTTGTTTCTGTACTGTAATTTTCTTTGTTCTTTGAGGTGCAGGTACCTGTCCTCACTGATTGCAGCCTATCTGTCAGAAAGCTGAGGATCCAATTGCAGAGGGCGGAGCCAAGACCAAGGTCTCTCAGTTTTGAGATCAGTTTGGAGGGGATAATGGTGTTGAAATGGTGTTTTTTTTTAAATTCTTCTGGAAATCTAGAGTAGAGGGAATGGAAGCTAGGGCAGTTGCATGCTCCTCTTGCAGGATGTGGGCGGTAAGGGTCACTGCTGGTGTCCCCTCTGACTTCACCTGCGAGAAGTGCACCCAACTCCAGCTCCTCACAAACCGCATTAGGGAGCTGGAGCTGGATGAACTCTGGATCATTTGGGAGGCTGAGGGGGTGATAGAGAGGAGTTCTAAGGAGGTGGTCACACCCAAGGTACAGGAAAAAGGTCACTGGGTGACTGTCAGGAGGGGGAAAGGGAATAGGCAGACAATGCAGGGATCCCCTGTGGCCGTTCCCCTCAATAATAAGTATACCGTTTTGGATACTGTTGGGGAGGACGACCTACCAAGGGAAGGCCATAGCGGACAGGTCTCTGGCACTGAGCCTGGCCCTGTGGCACAGAAGGGAAGGGGGCAGAAT